GGGATCATATATATATATATATAGATGCATATGCATATGCACACACGTATGTGTGTGTGTGACATCCGTCTACATTTGCTCGCGTATGTGTGTTGTCTGCCGTTTGTTTGTTTGTTCTGCAGTTATATTTATGTATGTGTTTGTTCGTCCGGTTCTTTGCTCAGGCATGTTTCTACCTATGTTTATAGTCTTATTTATGTGTATTTGTTTCTACTGGTTTATGAATGCGTTTATGTTAAGTTCTGAACATCTGTTTCTGTTCAGATTTGGACTCAGTGGTGCACTGTTAACCGCCATCATGTAACTAGTTCATGTCATAGTATGTTGTGTCAGCAGCGCCAGTCTCGCAAGCCATTTCACCAGCCAGAAGCAGGCCCTGGATTTGCACAGATATCCCGCAGAAGAAGAGTTCTGCTTATGTATTTAAATCCGAGGCTGCAGAGGATGTTGCGACGTGGATCGGCAAAAAAAGGGGGGCCAGTGGGCACTTTGCCTTTTTAGGCTTCGTATCTGCTTAACATCTCCTGTATATAATTAGCCTACAATGGGCCCACAATGCTAAAACTCAAATCTTGAAAAACCCTCAACCCGCGAACCGAAACCCTGAACTCTAAATGCTTAGCTTGAACCCGCAACTCCAATCGCGAATACTACGAGGCCGTAAAGTCCTAAACCCTGTAGCCCCCATGCCATTCGCCTTGGAGTTGCGCCGCAGGCTGATCGCCGGGATAAACGAAGCTGGTGGCCTGAAGAAGGCTCGAACCCGCCTGTAATTTTGGGCTTAGGGCTATAGGGTTCAGGGAGCGGGAAGTAGGGCGTATGGGGTTGAGGATTCAGGGTTTCGGTTTTTGGCTGGCGCGTGGCCTCGTGAACCCGACACCCCAGAAGCCGCAATTGCTTGTTGAGTTGAGAGTTCAGGGCTGATGAGTTCGGGACGGGTCGCTGTCCAAGAGAATGATATCAAACCCCCTAAATGCTACAACTGCTTCTGGCAGGCTGTATGCAGTCTTCTTGCCACGGAGCTTTCAATCCAGTGCTGTTTAAGATGTGGCTCACTCTCGGCTTGCTATGGGCATGGTCTGTTGCTGTTCCAGAGACAAATCTGGCAGTCCTTGCTTTCATTTCGTCGATGTGGCTGGTGCATCAGCAACTTTGCAAATGCATCCCCTCAACTGCAGTTCTTGAGGCTTCACCATACGAGGTCCTGACTGTCGTATCCCGAGAATTTCAGAACGTCTGGCATTTGACGCATCGCCCCAAAGACTTCTGAGTCTTGGGTAAAAGGTCGGGGCAGGTGGGCAGAGACAGGACACAGCCGTCTAGCAGAGACTCCTCGAGCGGTCGGGGCTTGAGATGATGCAAGCACGGGAACTCTCTGTTTCAGGCCCTTTTTGAGCGCGCCTTTGCTGCCAAGAAGGTGGGTGCCGCAAGAGCCCTCTTCAGTTGTAGCTGATGGTCTATACGTATGCACATGCCGCTGTATGCACAGGTTGCAAAGTAACTTTCATTCTACGCGTTACATTGACAACATATCGCTGTACATCATACTGCTGCAGACCTCTCCGGACATACCTGTGAACCCCAGAATTCGAAAGCCAAAACCGCTGGAAGGAGCCTTACTAAACCTGAATCTTGAAGCCATGCGTGCAACATAGACAATACGTACGAAAAGCTAGCCCAAGCCCTGAACCCGATGGACCCTGAGAGCCTGGACCCCACCTGATACAGCTCGCCTCCCTGGATTGGTGCCAGGGGATGCTTCCGCAAGGAAAGAACACCCACCCGCTATGGGACAGGCCGCTTCCTCGGCGTGCTGGGCGTGGACCTTAAGGAGGTTGTTGTTAATATTGATTCGGGGATTAAGGCGTGTGCAGGTTCAGGATGGTCGTTCTTGGTCTACAAGGCCTTCGCTTTTGGGACATGGTCCAGGGCTTCCATGTTAAACACAGTCTTTGGGGCTCCGGCGGTGTGTTGTTTGGTTTTGCGTCAAGACACTGCCACCTCAAAGCCAAGCGACGAAGACCCTAAACAGCGAGTAGTGCTAGTATGTGCTACTAGTAGTAGTAGTAGTAGTAGTAGTAGTAGTAGCAGTAGCGCAGGGCGTCCGCAGCTGCCAGATCATGTTTGGCCGGAGTTGCTTAAGGAGATCTCTCTCGCTGACAGTCGAGTCCGAGAGTGGGTTCTTTTCTGGGAGGGCCTGTCTCACTTGGGACGCGCTCGGGACTTCGCTTGCTGCGGCGTGCTTTGGGTTGCCATCAAAGATGTGGTGGTTGCCCTGGGGTTCTTTTCGCGTCGGCACCATTGCCCCGGGCCTGTACTGCAAAGGTGGCGTGGTCGGGCTATGCAAATCCGCCGGCCGTCATGTTGAATGCAGTCATCATGGCAGTGAATCCGAAGATGACATGGACCCTCACGTCTTCAATGAGGATGATCAAGGCACTGGTTACGTTGCAGAAGCCCCGGTACGGGACACAGTGGGGTCGGCAACACGTGGGGAGAATGCTTTCTCTTCGCTTCTTCGATGATATTGACTGATGTTCCATGGCGGCAATATGCATGTACAGATTTGTCAAAAGGAGTCATTAATCCAATGACGCGATGAATATTCGCCGGGCCTGAGTGCATGTCCATGCAGCGGATCATGGACGTTTCGGCGACCGACTGCTACTACTACTAATACTACTACTTCTTCTACTTCTACTTCTACTACTACTACTACTACTACTACTACGAGCAATAACAATGATTAGTACTGTAGCAGTAGTAGTGGTAGTAGTTGTAGTA